TAAGGAACTGCTCTAATTTTGCCACCCTTAAGACAAGACACCAGTGAAAATGGCTTTACTCAACACTTTGTGGGGAGTGAAATAATATAATTATATTCTTATGTGAATAATGGAGTGACTGTAGGATATATAATTGAAGATAATTTCTTTTTTTACAAAGAGGAATTTGTATTGTACTTTGATTAATCGGTTAACAGAGAGGGACAAAAGGATATATATATATATACTGGATCCAAATCAAGAGAAAAGCATCGTAGGAAAAACTGTCGAAAGTAAATCGTGCTTCAGAAAAATATGAAATGAAAGCGAAATGCCGAGTGAAAACAATCACCCAGAAGAGTTGAGCACGTCAACCAGACACCATACACCCAGAATCCCTCTTTCTTCCGCCCAATTAATGATCAGAATCAGCAGGACCGGCCCAAAGTGTGTGCCAGCCGGCTCTCCGGCACAGAGCCTCCAAATTTTGGGGTCTCCGGACCTCCATTATATGTATGACTAATTATTATTATGGATTATTAGATTTCGATTGTATATTTAAAATGATAGAAAATTTATGAATTGGGTTTTGATTAGGGGTCTAACAATAATAAAAAAAATTAATTACGAAGGTTAAAGGAACGAACGAATCGCATGAGGCGAATACTTGTTTTCTTATTAAAATGTTTTCGAACCATATAACATAACTTATTCTTTGTCGCGTGTTTCCTAAATAGAACAAAAGAGGTAATTGATGATGCCTCATTATTATCATTATTAAATTTGTTGATTTAACTTTCTTCATTTTCAGCTTTCCAAGGGAGAAAAGAATTCAATTTCGTCAATTAATATGCTTGTACTATCAAGGCAATAGTGCTTAATTAATTAAATAATTCGCATTGATTTATTAAGCTTTAACCAAAATAGTTAGGTATAACCACCCATAGTATAAAAGAAAAAATAACTAAATCAACTGAATCGCTAAATGTCGCCCTAAGAATTGCTAAACATCGCCCTAACTTAAAAGTCAAATTACCTATATACCCTTAATGAAAATTTAAAAATTGGACCAGCCAAACAGCCCTTTCACCCTTCACCCTCCTTCAAGCGGGACTCTTCGGACTTTCCTTCCACCCTCTGCACATCCCGCCGCCGGCAACCCCCTCCACCCTCTGCAGATCGCCGCCGCCCGCCAGTCGCCGCTCGCGTCCAGTCGCCGCCGATCATCCCGCCGTCCTATCGCAAGTCGCCGTCGCCCGCCAGTTGCCGCTCCCGCTCGCGTCGTCACTGCCCGTCGCCCGTCTCGCCATCGCCGCTCGCGTCGTCACCGGAGAAGACGCCCGTCGCCGCTCGCGTCGTCACCGGAGAAGGTAACGAATTGGCCCCGCGGTTTGACCGACGGCTGACCGCGGTCAACGAGCGGTTGAACCGACGGTCAACCGCGGTCGGCCCGTTTTTTTTTAAATTCTGTTTTGTAATATTTTGTGTTTTTATTATTCGTTAAATAAATGTTAATAATAATAATAATAATTTAGTTATATTATTGATAAATGTTAATTTAGTTATAATGTTAATTTAGTTATATGATATAAATTTTTTAAAAACGTATTCGATAAATGTTAATTAATGATAACAAATTTAAAGAACATTATAAAAAAATTAAAAATGTGTTTTTATCATTTTAATAATCAAAATTTCAAAGTAATTCGTCTATCTACTTAATTATTAATAATTTTACCTTGATTAAAAAGTAAATAATTATTACATAGAACGTAACATAAATGTTAAAACTATTAGTTTTATAATTTTAATTATGAAAATCTTAAATTAATTACTTTATGTACTCCATTATTAATAATTCAAACGTTTTTTTGAAGATGTCTGGACATGGAATGGGTAAACCGGATATGATTAAGGCGAGAAATAAGGAGAGAATGGAAGGTCGTGCTTGTAGACTTACGGCGACTGGTAGGAAGGAAAATGAAGAAAAAAATCCACCTAAGGTTAGAAAGGAGAAGAAAAAGGCGGATGTAGTGCGTCCTGACGGCCACCCTACTGTGGGGCAGTTGTCTCTTAGTCGAGGTACTACCAGTACTCCTACACCAGATAGCGCACCGGTATGGTAGGCTAATTGGAGTGATTCCATTGACGAGGATGATGATGATGACGGTGATGCTGAGGTTGGGAATGCCCCAGATGCTGGTGATGATGATGGTGATGATGCTGGTGATGATGCTGGTGATCATGCTGGTGATGCTGAGGTTGGGGATGCCCCACCTCAAGCTGATTTAGATGTGGGGAAGACGACGCGGGTCGGGATATCTTCTACTGCCTCCTCCCACTTTCGTGGGCCCGATGGACGCTATGCGTCCAGACCTAGTAGCGAGGATGGCGGAGATGGAAATAGGAAGAGGAATACCACGAGGAAAGATATGCCGTGGTTTCTTACAGCCGAGTCTCCGATGTGTTCAGGTGGACCAGTGATTCCCGATGTGATCCCTAGCTTTGGAGGTCACATTGGCTTTGTACTGTGGAATTCCCCTAAGCAGGACCGTGGAGTGTTGGGCGGCTTCCATAGGCCGAGAGCTGTAGAGACTTTGAGGCGATATAAGTGGAGTGCAGAGGGTTCCAAGGAGATGGTTGAAGCCACAGGATTGTCTCACTTGACAGGGTGCATGATGCAGCATTAAGACATGGCTCTACTGTCGGCATTTGTGGAGAGGTGGCAGCCGGACACAAACACCTTCCACATGCCGTTTGGAGAGATTTCGATCCTTCTACACGATGTGCATCACATTCTTCGGATACCGGTTGACGGAGAGCTGATGGGAGATGAGGCGGGATACTCTTAAGTCAGACATGGGTGGTCTAGTTCGACTTTCGATGGATGCTCAGGTTGGTGGTAAGTGGAAGTCTAAGTGGTACGATAATGGTGCTATGCATGCAGAGGGATTGTTGGTGCGTGGAGGAGAGCTGAAGATTAAGGAGATGGAGGTGCAGTGTTACCTATTTTTGTTACTGGGATCCACGCTTTTTGTGGATAAGAGTCGTGATCGCCTTCGTCCTGCGATCAACTTGTTTCTGAAGGATCATCGACGATTGACTGATTACGCTTGGGGAGCTGGTGCACTAGCCTATCTCTACAGACAGTTGGGAGTGGCCACACGAGCGGGTAGTAAGGGTCTTTGTGGTTGTTTGACCCTGCTTCAGGCTTGAATATATGAGTACTTTCCTCTATTCCGTCCGAGCCAGCTGCCGCAGTCTCCGGATGCACCTCGTGCTTCCTCGTGGATTTCTCCCCGTTTGCCAGGTGGGGATGAGGCTAGACAGAGGTTAGCACGTTATCGACGGTTGTTGGATGAGCTTGCAGCTGATGATGTGACCTGGACTCCGTACGGACGAGATGGCCACACAGATATACCTCGCTCCTTGTATACTAGCCCCATTCGCTTTTCTGACATTGCTGAGGGATACGATCCTGCACGTTTTCTGCGCCAGTTTGGATACCGACAGATTATCCCCCGTGCTATGACGGTACCACATGACCAGTACCATCCGGCTTCCGGCAGCAGTTACATAGTCTTTTGGGATCCTTGGGTGAATCAGTTGTGGGATAACGTGGCAGCCCGTCGTCTAGATTTGGATTTTGCTTCTCGGCCGTGCGAGCACCCATCGGAGATCGTGGAGGAGTACATTGACTGGTTTCTGACTAGATTGCACCCACGGATCACCCACCCCACTGATGGGGTGCCTCAGCCTCGATCACTACTAGTTCATCAGGTTAGTTATGACTTTCTTTTGCTTTTCCAAATATAAAGGACATTTGTTATTTATTCTAACATTGTTTTCTATTTACAGTTGAGAGAGCATATTGTGGATCGTTTAGGTCCCGTGTTGCTGACAAGGGACCGGAGTAAGTGGGAGGAGGACGGTGGTAAGTTCTATGATATGGTAGCCGGGGTTTTCGAGTTGTACGACCAGTTGGTAGGGCAGCCGCCTCAGTAGACGATTGTGTTTTTTATTTGTCATCGTTTGTAGTTGAACTGAGACTATTGTGTTTTTTTATTTGTCATCGTTTGTAGTTGAACTGAGACTATTGTGCTTTTTATTTGTCATCGTTTGTAGTTGAACTGAGACTATTGTGTGTTTTATTTGTCATCGTTTGTAGTTGAATTGAGACGGTTGTGTTTGTTTTTTTTACTTTAGTTACATTCAATGCATTGCTAAAATAGTTAATCAACATGGTAGATTACTAAATGTTTCAACAATAGAGAGTTATACAATTCGTAAATATACTTCCAATCTTCATCCCCGTGGGTTCAATCTATCATAAAGCGCACGCTCATGTAAGAAGAATTGATCCCACCCATTGACACTAGGGTCATGAAAAATAGGCCAAATGCCATTAATTGGAGGCATGGGCACTTGACCATGTCGAAAGTCAAGTCGCACCCAATGATCCCCCGTAAAATGTAGTGATAAGATCCCACGTGGTCTTGTTACTCCTGGTGGGGCCGTCACAGGTAGCATGGTATAACGACCGCCTTGACTGTATACAACGATAGCCCATGAATGCAAGGTGGCGAAGACGAAGAGTTCCGCATTATCCATCCAGTTGGGAGGTCCACAGCTACTTGTTGATGCCCACCTGCAACATTGAATGCCATTTTCTATTCCATTTGCTATTCCATCATAGTAGTCTCTATAAAGCTCAGGACGGGATTCAAGCTCCTCTACAACAGCGCGTCTCATTTGTGGCCAATTCCTTCGGTCCCCAGTAACTGCTTGTGATATAGCTCGAAATCCACAGTGTCCATCTGGAATAGGGTTGAACCAACCACGAACTAGTCGTTGCACGTAGGATTCCAAACAATGTAGCCATGGGTAATTCTTCCAACTAGTATTGGGAATCCGAGCAACCCTCCACGGGGCACCATCTAGCCAAAGAGCATAACACAATAAATTAATACAAAGAGTTATACAATATGTTTACCCGAAATTAGGTATATAATTTCTAACCTGTATCATTATGGATCACCGGCTCCGTCTCATTCTCGAAGTTGGTTTGTGCATTCACATTCGGGGCACCACCTATCTCATTAAAAAAAATAGATTAGTTGTACACTATATTGAGGACAATTGAACACAACTAATAGAAAAAGTTAATCTACCTGTATTTCCATCATTGTCCGGAGTTGCAGTCGGAAGTCTTGAACTTCTCCTCCCTCATCTCCTCTCCACATGCTCGAAGTGAGATAGGTTTCGAGTGGTGGACGTCCTTGGGCGACCGGGGCGGGGCTGTCCCCCATGCGGTTCATCAATGCCATCATTTTCAGGATGAAGATGGCTCCGGAGTAGGCCGATTGCACCTCGAATGGTCTCGTCGCCTCTATCAAGAACCTCCTGTACTAGACCTTGGAACACACCACGGTGGTAATCACTATGGTCATCCCACTCCGGCCGAGTAGGAGGTTCACGATAGTTGATAACGGTCCAGAATGGCAACACATCATACAAGGCGAAATCCCGATTTTCACGTCGTGCTAACTGAATGGAACATCTACATGGGAGACCATAGGTAGGAGGAAACGTACATGTACAAGGTTCCCCTTCCACTGCTACCTCGAACAACATCAACCTCAGAGCTTCTAGAGTGACTTTCGTATTCAACTCTCGAAATGGTTTTCCATCCGCTCGGAGCAGCTTCTTTTGTCGGGAATCCTCTAGAAGCTTCCTGATTTGAAGGTGTTGAGCCTCAATGTAATCATCGTTCTTCTTGAATACCTACCCAAATGAAGAACAATTAGGAGACTACTAAAACTTATGTGTGTATCAATGAAGATTATTAGGAGACTAATCGTGTCGACTGCGCCAGTAGATGATTGAAGCCACTTCTTGAAGGAGGAATGGGCAGCTTCAACCCTATTAGAGCTTGTGTTACCCAAATGCCGCACTTGATTGGTATAACATTTAGCCCACATGTGTCTAACTGGTAACCACTCAGCTGCCATATACCCCCAAAGACGTCGGTACTGTACTCCCCAACTACGTATGAAATTGTCTAAGGCAGTATCCATGTATTCCACTATCAATGCATATATAGCACGTTGCCAAGACGCCATGATATGATCCACTGTCGGTTTGGCTGCATCTATACCACAATGAGTCGTCCTTCGCACCTCCGTTAGACACTTTGCTCTCACATTCCTATCTATATGCCAAAGACATAATATATGAATCGATGATGGAAACATTACCCCCACGGTCTCAACCAATCCTCCTGCCTTGTCACTGACAAACACATATGGAACAATGGGGCCAAGAAGATGTTGCAAATGCGTCAGAAGCCACTGGTACGAATCCTTTGTCTCGTCGTACACTATTGCAGATGCAATGACAAATTTCAATCCCACTGGTGTCATGCCGACAATCTCAACCCAAGGCATATCATACTGATTGGTCTTGTATGTTGCATCTATCACGATTACATGGTGCCAAGCTCGCAACATCACTATTGACTCGGGGTGGGCTAGGAACAAGTGTGTAAGCACGTTACGATCGTCCATATACTGCACATAGTAACCCTTCTCCTGCGCCATGCGGAAAGTATATTGTAAGGCTGTCATCTGACCAAGCTCTTCTTTCCTTATCTTGTGACACTCGTTATAAATCTGCTTTCTGTTGTGTGTTCCATTTGCACCTTTTCTGTCATTCACTGCCTTGTGGATATTCCTTGGTGGGACACCGGCTGATCTCAGCTCTCTGATGTATTGCTTATCCTCTGTAGTCAAAACATTCCTTCCCTTTGATCCCTCCGGAAATAGCTCCAACTGATGATTGTGGAAACCGCAATTAGCACCAGGATTCTTTGTATTTGCCACCCCTAGGATCAACCAATATCCATCACCGGACCGCTCAAGCTTGATATGAAACTCGCACCCCAACTTTTCAGTAGATGTAAGAAGCCTCCTTTCCTTACTCTGATCAGGTTCCTTCGACGTCTTCTTCCTACCTTGAGTGCAATGTAAGTAATGTCGCCAAGTACCTTCATTCTTATTTTTTTTGTTCGATGCCCTCACCAAATAAAACCCAAAACCCTTGGCAATCTCAGTAGCTGCTTCATATGCTTGCAACTCCGTAGTGTATTTCACGCCATCAATGAAATCCGAGGTGTAATCACGCCCATCCGGATTGTAACTTCCAACATCCTGCAATGTTATCAGAATTTATAAGTGATACCCCGCAAATTAAAAAAAAAAACTTAACATTCTATATCGTCAATTTAACGAGTACCATATGATAAATTTAAAATTTCATAACTATATTAAATTTAATAATCATCATAACTTCATATGAGAATCTATTATTTATGCAATAAATTTAATCTTAATTTGTAATGCAAAATCTAATCTTAATTTTCTAGATTAAGACCAAATTAAATCTAATCTTAATTTAAGGCCAAATCTAATATTAATTTCTAATGCTAAATCCTTTAATTCCAAAAATAATTATGCAAATAAATCTAGAAAATTATATAAATCAAAACCCAACAAATTATTTCATGGAACAAATCATAAATCATATAAAAATAGAAAATTATTCAACGAAAAAAAAAACCCAAAAAATGCCCAACCGCAAGTGACTTGCGGTTGAACCATGGCTGAACCGCAGGTCACTTGCGGTCCAGCTATGGTACAACCGTAGGTGATTTGCGGTCCAGGCATGGTCCAACCGCTGGTCACTTGCGGTTGAACCATGGTCGAACCGCAAGTGACCCGCGGTTCCCATTTTCTGTGTTTTTTTTTCAGTTCATGTTTTTACCTCGTCGGAGTCGCTACTCATGATTCAGATGTCCTACCGATGATATCAGCTTCAAAATGACGATGATGGATTTTTCTCTCATTAGATAGTGTTTTTTTAGTCCAAGTGATGTTTGTTTGAGGAAGGGAAGGTAAAGAAGCTAAGGGGGGTTAAAAGTGTAACTTTGATTCTTTTTAGGGCGACCTTTAGCAATTTTAAGGGCGACCTTTAGCAACTCCCTAAATCAATTATAATTCGCATTGACTTATTAACTATTCATGTGACTGTTGCTACAACAAGAAGAAACTTTTTGAAATTGAAGTTTTTCAAGTCTTATATGCGCTCTGCAATAACATAAGAGAGGCTTAACGAGTTAGCTATGTTAGCAATTGAGAATAACTATTTGAATGATGCAAAGATGGAAGAGCTAATAGAGGATTTTATTTCAAATAATACTAGATTATTGTTACATTTACATTTTAAACAATGATAGATGATTTTATTCCTTTTGCAACCACTTTATGAACTTATGTATTTTTATTTAATAATTTTTAGTTTTAATAAATTTACGGGGAAAAAATTTAGAGCCACATTTTAAATTTTCGAACAGGGCATCCAAATATCATGGGCCGGCCCTGAGAATCAACTCGTCTGATCACAACAGAATCCATGACGATTGAACACAACAATACCATGTGGCGCCTCCTAAGGATTGCTGAAAGATATCTAATACTGTGAATCTCGTATTCAGGATTACATGACGATGGACAAGGCTGTGAAAAGGATCGCTCCAAGCTAAAGAGGCAAAGGGCATAGAAATCGCGTTCAAAGGAGAGTAGAATATCCTAGGGGAGCCACAAAACTCCACAGAAACATCGAGCCGTAATCGCAACTAGTCAGAGAAAGCTTCTTGCAAGCTTTCGTGCCATGAATCCGCTGGTGTGTAAGCCCAGGCGGCAGGGAAAGTCACTTGTACAACATGTTTTACATGCAAATAGTTAAAGTAAATGTGATCTCTCAACTCCTAAGAACTCAGACAAAGTGAGCAATATTATTGACATCTAGTTGCTAGTTTTTATTATCTTATATCAACAGTATGAATTTGATCCAAACGTATCAACCAAGATATCAATGAGTTCCTAGGTATAGTATATTGTTTCCAAAGAAGCTTGTACCATATTTTCCTCTCCTATCTTCTTACACTTGATGGAATGACAACTTTTTTTTACTCAGTGGCGGATACATGCATGTTTGGGACACCACTAAAATTTGAATAAAAAATTGTCCAATCTCCGATAGTAGTTTGAGTATCGGTAAAAAAAAAAATACTTAAGTGGCAACATGACACCCTTAAAATTTGAGAAAATCATTATCCAACCTCCTGTAGTAGTTTGCGTACGAGTACAAATAATAATTACGTGTTAGTCTATGCGATTTGAATTTGGAACTCTGCTACTATTAGTAAACATATTTTCAATTAGACTTTGTTGTTTTGTTTTAGACCCAAATATAATAGTAAAAGACTATTCTTATCCCCAATTATTTTCAAAACCTAATGATATTAAACCCAATTACGGGCTATCCTTGTCCAGTAGGATATGTCGAGAGATTTTTTTTTTGATGAAGGTGAAGAATGCATTAAGAAGGAAGAAAACATAGTTTAATATAGAAAGAAGGCCGCACAAGAGGTGCAACACACAAAGAACAGCTCGTCCAAAGAGAGCCTAAGCAAAGTCGAAAAAAGAAAAGGCAAGAACAGCAAATTTGTTGAGCAGTGTAGACACTGAATGTATTTTACCATTTTTCATTATATGAAACACGTCTGAACTTTTATTGTAACTTTTAGTAGTTGGATAATGATTAATTTTTATACTTCAAATTTAATTATAATTTATTTTATTTTTAATTTAATTTTTAAAAGAAGACACCCTTATGTAAACTTTTTAGATCCTTCACTAGCTTTATTTAGCATGCAACTGATGACCTCATTTACAACGTGCACACCTAATTGTTGTCCAAAATTATTAGTGATGAGCTTGATATCTGCTTAATAAGGACACATCTTCAGTTTCATTTTTTAGGACATCTTCAATTACTCACATATCACTTATGTTGGGAATATTTATTTTTTGCTCAATCCCGTCTAATGATGTATCTAAAAATTAGGGGATTTGAGCGACCAATTAAGGAGCAAAATATGAATTCTTAGCGTAGCGTGACCCATGATCCATCAAATATCTAGCGTTAGGTATCCAGCCAACCTAATAGATCTAGACCCAAAATTTGCTAGTATCAAAATAATAGTTATCAGAAGTATATGAATATATATGTTTGTCGAAAATACTAGGATATAGTTTATAACAAAAGAGAGTACTAGTATATATATTTGCTTTCGTAAAACATTATATATGGTAATTATTGTCGTACTCCTTAAGTATACCATATTTTTAATGTTATGACATTTAGATGTACTTCGTTGTATTTTGAAGAATCAAAATCGTAGATAATCTTTGTTTTAAATTGATATTCAAGGTTGGGTTTGGAGAGCTGAGATTTTAGATATATCCATTAAAAGTTATTGTATAATATCATGCCCAAACTCAATTTAATTCATAGTCTAAATAGGAATATTTTACGTAAAATATATGGAGGATTATATACCTTGCATTCTCACCCTAAATAATAGAATACATTTGTAAAAAAAAAAAATTCCTAAAACTAAGTCGAGAAAATTAGTCATAATAATAAATGTACCCCCCCATGTCTAAAAGTATTGCCAGTCCTAAATTCTCCACTAATCTAGGGAAAATCTGAATAAATATGATTTAGTGTGAGCCACGCAGATAGAGCTAGCTGCCAGGCGCCAGCTGGTGGATATTTTTCATTGTATTATTATTATCAACATTTTTTAATGACTGCTTTGGATTATTATTATTAGTATATTATTATTATTAAAACTAATTAGTATCAAACAATTACTTTAGACAGTAGAGACGACGACGATCCATCTAGCCATGTATGGGTGGATGATGGTATAAACAAAGCTCAAGCTCAATGAAATTAGGAAGGAATTGAAACCTTGTATATATGAAGTCAATGGGAAGGCATTGACTTCTAATTTGATTTGATGAAATATTTGACGTGAGATATGCAACGATTAATCAGTTGGACTACATTAATTTTGGGTTGATTGTTGTATGGACATGTGTTGACACCTAAAATTATATTGGATCAAATTAAATGCCGCATTAATTAGTTTAGGTATTTAATTCGATACCGCATGACAAAATTGGTGTCGTTTGTAGTCGAACAACATCGCAGATAGTTTAAACGACACCGCGAGGAAGTCCGACAACACCGCGGATTAGTAAACGACACCGCAAGGAAGGTTAACGGTACCGCGGCACTCGAAACGACATTGTTTACTAGAAAACAATTGTCGTGAGACATGGGCCACACAATTAGTGTTGTTATTGGAAAAGGAGTAATTTTTATTTATTCCTTGTCGGAAGAGGGAGAAACGACACCGCTTAGAGACAAGCGATATCGCGGATGGATAAAACGACACCGCGGATTAGAAAATGACACCGCGAGAAGCCTTAGCAAGTGATGCCGGTTAATTAAAAACCATATCGGGTAAGTGCTTGGTCCAAAATCCGCCAAGTCCAACACTAGTGCAAAGTCTCGCGGGTTTAATAAATTGATATATATATTTTTTGATTATTTTGGACGGTGTTGTTTAGTTAAAAACGATACCGCGACTAAGCCTAACGACGCCGCAGTAGTTAAAACGACAGTGTTTTATTTAAAACAGTGTTGCGGAGTAAAGAGCAAACGAAGCCGTTTGGGGGAAGAAAACGACACCGCAAGGAAGCCCGACAACACCGCGGTACTTGAAACGACATTGTTTAACAATGTCGTGAGTCGTGGGCCGCAGAACTTGTGTTACTGTTGGAATATGAGTGTTTTTATTTTTCCTTGTCGGAGGAGGATAGAAATAGCATCATTTGGAGTTGAGTGATGGCATGAAGAGATAAAATGGTGTCACGAAGCTCAAAGCTCAACGGCACCGCGAGATTGGAAAACAGTGTTGTTTGGCTAAAAACAACGCCGCGAGAGAAAACAACACCGCGGATTAGAAAAAGAAAGTGTTTAATATAAAACAATGTCGTGGAGTAAAAAAGCAAACAGAGTTGTTCGCGAGAGAAAACGACACCGCGGTAGTGGGTAAGAGTTCGGCCAAAGGCGGCCCGCCAAGCCCAACAGCAGCGCAAGACTAGAAACGACATTGTTTGATGGGCTAACGATGTCGTTGGTCAAACCGGGTCAGGGCAATTGAGTTGTGATTGTAAAACGACATTGAGTAGTGAAAAGCGATGTCGCGGTATTGGTGAGCGACGTCGTGTGATTAAAAACAATGTCGCGAGGTTCATGATTTTGTCATGGATGATGAGGACGACGATGTTATGAACGAAGGAGGTTTATTTTCTCAGTTTATGGAGGTGAAACGACATCGTTGCATGGACAAGGTTGCAGGATTTGGCTCAAGGGGGAAGTTTACCTGCACATTATGCACTCCGCAAAGTATCCTGTAGTAATCTCGCTGATGCTCCAGCCACTCCTCATCAGTGCCCGTTGCGCCACGAAAGGTGCGAAATTGCACAAAAGGTCTTGTCCATGTTGTAACAAAACAAAACAAATGTTAGTTTCACACATATTATACTAATATTGCTTTAAATGGAACCATTCAAAACGCGAATCTTACCACTGCGAATTCAACTAGTTGATCACCATATCTATCATCCTGGAGGACTCTAAGGTGGGAGTGGGTGATGAACCACTCAAGATAGTCAGGGTTCATCTCGTATGAATGTGTCCTCTAGGGCTGAGCGTACATGCCTATATTAACCATGTGGGATAGCAGGGCATCCCTAGAAGAATCGAAACTCCCAGGGTTTCGAATGACATATCTTGTAGGTGTCGCTGATCAATCTGCTCATTGGGCTTGCAAAAGTGGTGGCGATACCATCTGCCGGAATCCAAATTGCCAGATGCAACTTGCTGAATCGTAGAACTTGCCTACATCAGCAAACCAAATTACTCCAGTGTACAAAGAGTGATGCACTACCTGATGAGGTTGCTAATCGAAAGGTGACTGACACACATAAAACAGGGGTCAAGCTGTCAAGAGCTCGACGGTAGTACGCCAACCTCACATTAGGATCGGCCACAGAACCTAGGGACGATAGTGAAATCCATCATGAAATCCAAGAGTTATCTGATCCTACAGAAGTTGGCCCGGAAGTGAGATGGCCTGAGACTCAAAAAGTACTCGTAGATCCCACATTGAAATATGAGAGACAACCATCCACCCCCCATATTTGCTCAAGATGCCTGACCAAGCTGTCTATACAACCAAGCAAGTGTCCCTGATTCCCAACTTTAATCAGGTATCCTCTCCAAGTCCTCCAAAAATAGGTTCTCCACAGATCGAACCCTGTCTCCACTCTTGTCCATAAACAAAGTGGACCCCAGTAGCATTAACAAGTACGACTACACCTTTGTCATTGCTCTCTCATTCTTCCTCAAGTATCTAGACGCCACCTCTGCAAGAAAACCACCCTTGGTGTACCAATTACCCCTCCTACATAATTAGGGGCCTCTGGCCTACCGTGCAACTTCTCTGGGTTCAGCCCAAGAAGGCCACACAAGCCCCCATCCGTCCCAGTCACCCTTTGTCCGACTCTTGCTCATCAGTTGACACTCTATAGGAATCTGCAGTAGGTACTTAACTTCGTGGAGGAGGATCGTCATCACTCAAAAGGCATGTGGAAGGTGTTGGTGACTGACTGTCGCCTCTCCACAAGAGCTGAAATCAGAGCTCGTCAATCGAAATCTTGCAGAACATACAATACATCAGGTGTTGAAGATTTGTCTGTTGAACCCACTCCTCCGCATGACCATGCATAAACTCATAGCTTTGTAGATAGTCAACCGTGCCTGTACGGCTATAGCAAGTGGACCCTTCTGTCTTCAATCCCCTTCCAAAATGCATAGGAGATGTGGCCACAGAAGCTCATAATGAGGCTAGGATCCCTAGGTCCAGTAGGACACTCACTGACAAGGTCCCACGGTCGAGGATCACTCGAGTCCTGTCCTCTCCTACTTCGTCCAATCCTGGAGCTCTATGTGTCCTCTTGAGCAGGTGCTACAAACCGTCCATCTCTATCCCTATACAGTACGAGACTTGAAGAAGATGTATAGGATGGCCATTGTCCACGCTTAGCTGGATGGACCTGGAAATCCACATCAGACTTGTCCTCCATCGAGTGATAATCAAATTCGTTTGAAAGCACCCTCCCCGAAGAGCCTTAGTTCCTCTCATGGGAACCAATCGCCTGCGATGTCGTCAGACAAACTACAGTAGGAGCCTCTAACGCCTCCTCTCCTAAATCTGGCTCTGCTTATGTGCCATTTGTCGAGCGCGCTTCTTCTCTCCCTCCTCCTTCGTGTTCATGCATCAACATTTCTATCTATGAATGTAGGCAACATTTCTATCTACAAATTTACAGAATATCATACTTAAATGTTCACTAATTTTCTATTAGCTATATTTTTTCTTTTATAAATTTTAACTACTCATTGAAACACTATTGATTATTACTCATTAACTAATTTAATAATAATGAACTCTCATTAAAACACTAATGAATTATTTATTAACTAATTGAACTAAATAATAACACTACTCTTTAAATCAATCCCTACTAGTTTGATAAGGTTTGTTGCAAAAGTGACTTTACAGATTTTTCATTTCGTTTTTTTTTTTAATTAGTTGGCGGCAAAGAGTAATCATGTTGGCGGGAAACAGCCGTCCACATATATCAACCCTTAATATGTTTTATGTTACATAATGTGAATACTGAATAGTCAATATTCAATTTTCGTGAGTGTACAAGAAGCCACCACGATTTTAAGCCTGTTAAGGCAAAGCCTTTATACTGCTAGCGCTAGGTACTACAGTCTACAGTAACAAAAAAAAAAAAAAACAAAAACAAAAAAAACGTACGTGATTTACGTTGGACACAGCGGATGACAGATTTTGATGGTGCCGACTCTTTGTTCCAAAAAGTCCCCATCAGTAATCATCTCTGCATTGCGTTGATGGAGGTTGATAACGATGGCCAGCCAAAGCAAGACAGCTAAACAAGGCCGTGGAGAAAGATGGAGTTGCTAGCTAGCTGATCGCCGATGACCCGAAATGGGTTGTCGGGTCGAACTCGATCGGGTCTACGCGGGGGAGTTGATCAGTCAAAGAGATGGCCGCCGCGCGTGGGGTGGGGATCGGTAATAGATATTATTATTATTATTTTCCCCATCTCCTGGCGCGCGGTGGAGAGAAGCACACGTGCGCGCGACCAGCCGCCGGCAAGTTAACAGCCGGGGACCAGCTCGTTTTTCTAGTTTTGTTCCGTGGCAAAATCGAGTGGACTGTCTGTCTGCCTGCCTGGAACCAACTCCAATATTGGGCGGCTTATGACTCTGGAATTGCATGCTCTCATGCTTATAAATTGCTTATACTCATACTGACGGTTTCATCAAGCAGGCTATCTGCGTGCTTCTTTTGCAAGTTATTGATCTAACGGGTGAAAACACATAAATGGACAATCCAACGGTGTCATCTTGTATAAATATTCTATAAATTCATCTACATTTTTGTTGTGTGGTTCTCTTTCTTTCTCCAAGAGTACAGATTTGACTTGCTCGTTTCATTTCACTATTCACTCGACATCCATATATGGCTATTGGCTATGTACATTAGGGGTGGCTATTTGGACCGGGACCGGATTAAAAACCGGAAACCGGACCGTATAACCCGGACCGAGACCGGACCGGGACCGGATAGTAAACAATCCAATCCAATCTTTGGGCTTAGATTTGAGGTAAAAAACCGGATAAAGACCGGATAAGAGAGCTCAACACCCAAAACTTAAGGGTAATTTGCATAAACGGTCACAAACCTTTGCACTTAGTACAAAACTTAACCAACTCCTCACCCTTTAAGGCCTTAGGCCACTCAAATCCCACAATCTCAATGTAAAATCAAGACCGAATTGGGACCGGACCGGATCAAGACCGGACTGTATCCAATCCAATCTTCGGTCCTTATATCTTCAAAAAGACCGGACTGGACCGGATCAATTTGGGCCAATTTAACCGGACCGGACCGTATAGCCACCCCTAATGTACATTGTGAGCGGCGCAGAATAAACTCGGTATTCCTTTTGAAAATTGTTCTATATATAACAAATTTTGTTTCAAGCAAAAATGTTTCATTTGAGTCCTACAAAAATCGATATAAAATTACATGTTAGTACTTGAAATTTTTATTTCTTACATTTAGGTACTTTAGTTTTTTAAAAAATTCAAACAGCTCCACTACTAAGAAACATATGGCCTACTATGAAGAGGTTTTGGCCTACTTTGAGGTTCTGACATGCTAAGAGATTTTGGCCTACTTTGTGGAGTTTCTGACCTATTTCGTTGATCCCCCTCCCTTCCTCACATTCAATGGACAAAAGGACGGTTGGTCCCCCCCCCTCATCTTCCTCCAATTTTTATTAATGACCAGCGTGCCCCTCCTTCATTTTCCCTTCATTAATTGGGACAACTCTTTTAAATGGAAAAGTCATCCAAATGAAATGTTCCTATTAGCTGGAGCTAGTGTTAGCACCATATTAACAACAACAAAAAAATTGTTAGCAGACTAGCACTTTTCTGGTTCAAAACCACTGATGTTATCACTGGACTAAACCCTTGTTTGTCATAAATAATAACATAATTTATATGTAAATAATACATTATATGTGAATGATGTTATCACTGGACTAAACCCTTGTTTGTCATAAATAATAACATAATTTATATGTAAATAATACATTATATGTGAATGTTAGGGTACTATCCCCGCAACAATTTTCTATACGAATGTATAGTAAACTTAGTAAAAAAAAAAAAAATACAATAGTCCTTCATGGTATAGCACTTCTTCATCAGCAAGTGTGAAACTTAAGAAACCAGTAAACTATATATAATACTATATATATGTCTGCAATTTTTAGGCTTGAGAGAGTTTCAGCCCTCCACTCCACCGCATGCATCCTACAAAAGCGCTCTTCCCAAACAAGAGGCATGCCACATTTGGCCACAAGCTTAGGCTGCTATCCCCCACTACCGTAGACATGGAGAAACCAAATACAGATCATAACACCGGCCTATTGCGTGCTAAGTGCAACCACAGATAATGTTGCCTTTAGAATCCAACTCCGCTTCACATTCACAAATAAATAACACAAAAACGAATTTCAAATTTGGTCACTTAGTTTATCAATATGTTTCATGTTAGCCACCGCAAAAAATTTTCTTTCTTATTTCTCACTCACTTAAACAATTTATTTCATCTTTAGTCACTGACCGTCCAATTCCATTAAATATGTCCTACATGACAGTCAACTGTGATGTTTAACCGTTAAATAGCTGACGTGTCAATTAAAATATAATAAATAATTATTTTTCATTTCCACATCAGACTAAAATATAATAAATATTATTAAATAATTAATTTCCCATAAACCATTAATATAATATTTATAAACCCATATAGAGATCCAGTTCACTCCGTTGAAGACCAGCAGTAGCTTCCGCTTAATCGCCCGCTGCTGCTCGCACACAACGCCGTCGAGACGTGACTTGTCGTGGAACACGCCGTCGGGTTTTGACTCGCCACAAATACAACGCGAATTAAATCACGACTAGAGACTAAGTATAAACTCTAACCGGGTGCGGTATAGGGCAAGTATGTTTTAATTGTCAAACCCCGGACCAATCCATGTACCCCTACTTCAATCGCTTAAGTTGTTATCTAGCCAACGGTTTTGGGGTTTAAAAACTAAGAAAACTACAAAATAAACAAACAAGTAAAGTAAATCAAGGTTGTCCCAATGAGAGAAGAATTCACCCGGGTATTGCTTCCCCTAGCTACATATCAAGATTGACCAAATCGAATGCAAATTTGTGAAAAGGTGTTCATACACCGTTAAGAGGGCACAACAAGTGAAGAAAACCTCACTCTCTTAATCAATCGGTTAAGGAAAACAACTGAGCTAGGAACCCTAGCTCTCTCAATCAATGGATTAAAGATTGCTACAATAAACTAGGAAGTCTAGCTCTCTTAACCTTTCGGCTAAGGATTGCAACAATAAGCTAGGAGAGTCCTAGCTCTCGTAACTGATCAACTAAGAGTTGCAAGAACCAATCCCTCAGAACTTAATCCGGATGACAAAATAACACCCAAGTTAAAGTGCTAAATAGAAGATTGAGGTTTGCCCTAATTCACCCTAGGTAGGTGGCTCAATTAGCCAATGAATCGAGCTTATCAAAGCCTCATAACAAAAAGGGTGTTTCTCTCTACCTACGTCAAATTGGCATAGATATGATAAAGATATGATAAATGAAGAGCACAAACCCAACATCATGAAAAT